AGAAGAAGAAGAAGAAGAAGAAGAAGAAGAAGAAGAAGAAGAAGAAGAAGAAGCTTGGGGTCAGGTAGAGAAAGACATAAGTACGAAGACGGGAAAGTAGGTCGAAAAACGGCGAGAAGAAGTAAGCAGAGAGATATTAAAATTTAGGCGGAGACTCATGGAGCCAGGCGTTGTCATGATTCATCAACTGGTTTGCCAACAGCCCTAGCCCCTTGAGCTAAACCATAATTGTGCCTAGAGAGAACATCCGCTGCCCATCCAAGCATGCTAACACTCAACAGGTTTTAAATAAAAATAGAAGTGAGTTTTGCGCAACACGTAGGAAATGGGAAAGGGCAATTCCACGCGGAATGGTGCGATGTTCTCTTGAAAACTTTCACTACGGTTTTGATTTCTGAGCCACATGCGTTATTGTATTTTTACAAGACATAAAACTCCAGGAATCAATATCAACTCCTAAGCTTCTTTGTTTTTTAAACTTCATAAATAATTCCGACGCACCCCTTCTCTTTGTCAAGTGCCACCTCTGAAACAGACATCAACGGTCATGGTTCGCTAATCATTAATTTCTCTTCATGGTTGCTCTTAAAAATGGGCTATATTATCCTGGTCTTTCCCAGTCACCCACCTGTTTAAGTTCTCTAAGTAAAGCTCGATCCCGAATATGGTCTAGATTTTGTCGACAAGGACGTAAAAATACGTGTACTTGTCCTTTTTTTCTTAGACCTGACTGAATGAAATGTGACCAAGAAAAGAAACCTCAGAATAATTTTAATTGACACAGAGAGCCGAATACGCTATGAAAGCTGACTTGTTATGATTGGAAAATTGAGGGAAAAGTCTTGCACGGACATTACCGTTTCAACGTGACCTATACGGTGCATCGTTACACCAGAGAGTTTTACAGTGTTACTGTCAACTCTCTGGTTGCACACAGTGTCTTCTATACGGTGCACTGTTACAGCGTGACTTGTACGACACATTGTTACATACAGCGTGACCTATACGACACATTGTTACATACAACGTGACCTATACTGTGTATAGTTACATACAACGTAATCTATGTGTCACACCGTTACATACAGCGTGAATTGAATAGAACGGCGTATCATTACATACAGCGTGACCTAGGCTATACTGCACATTGTTACATACAGCGTGAGATATTCCGCACATTGTTACAAACAGCGTAAGCTATACGGCGCATCGTTCACATTGACTGCTATTTCGGGAGGGCATGACATAAACAGACGAAAGAACTATTCCACTAGAAGTCTTTAAAAGGATAACCAAAGAATCTATTCCCTCTCAGATAAACTATCATGAAAAAAAGAAATCATTACTTTCGCGATAAAACAAACAAATAAACAAAAAGAAGTAAACCATATAAAAATGGGCTAGATTTTATACTGAATGGGGAAAAGCTGTTATAATCCTTGTGCTTTCCTTTTAAAGGCGAAAGTTGTTTATGAATGAAAAATAACACAGTGATTATCCATGTCAGTACTGCAACAGTTTGATCTAATACTGGGAGAAGACTGTTAGTTTCATAGCCCCATTGATACAGTTCAGTCCATATTATAGGAGGCTGGCTGTTTTTTACTTTGCCTGAAAGGACGTTGTATTCCTCTCAGTCTCTTAATTAAGAGCCTCCCCACTCGGGAATTGAACTCGAATCTTTTGAGAACAACGACGAAGAACTAAACGATTACACCTCAGAAGACTGTGACTCTAGAAGAACAATAATATATCAAGTACAAGAAAAACCAGTTCAGGAATTTGGCCCCAGAGGACCGTCTGGCGTGGAATGGGCCAAAAATTAATAGTTTTGTACGGAGAGACATGAAACCATAGACTTGTCCCACGTAAACTGACGTTACTGCATGAGTAAGTCCAGCCGAGTTTGAATCCACAAAAGCAATGTGATAAAGTTCCCACGTCATAACACTACATCTAGCTGCATTCGGCATTCAAGCTTTTGTAATGGCAGTTCTCACACTGGCAAAGAAGATGGAAAACGAGGTTTTGAATAACTTATTTACCCTTGAAAAGACGATGACAGGAAGACATTGGGACATCATAGTTGGTTTTGGGGTTTTTTTGTGTGGGTTTTTTTTGGGGGGGAGGTTCTTTTGTTGTTTGCTTTTTGTTTATTTCTTTGTTTGTTTGTTTGTCAGTTTGTTTTATTTCTTGAAGCATTCGAACAGAGAGCGAGTGCTGAACCGTGAATGCCAACGTCGGTTTTGGATCTGACATGAAGAAGAAGAAGAAGAAGAAGAAGAAGAAGAAGAAGAAGAAGAAGAAGAAGAAAAAGAAGAAGAAGGCGCGTTCAGTCAGTTTCTCAATTAACCTCCCGTGTT